GAGCTGAGAGCCCTTATAAGGAGCCCACCTGCCCCGAAGCCCCCACGCTGGGGGGAAGGAGAGGCCGGGAGAGGGAGGCCTCCGGGAGGCGGGAATGGCTGAGAGGCCCTCGCTGTTCCCTAGGATGAAGCGTCATTTTTTCAGTTGCCACTTGGTGTCTCGCCAATCAGGCCGTGGACCTTCCCCAAGTGGGGACGGGTCATTCCTGCCACCACATGGGCCTGGAATAGGATGAGGAGAGTGAGATGTGAGTTTAAGGAAGTGCTCCCAGCTCACCTGCTCACGTGTCCCTTCTGTGCCCCATGAGCTGGACAGGGTGTGGGAAAGAAGGCCACCCCCAAGTTCAAGGGAAGTCTCTCTGGGTGATAAGCCTCTGGGCCCCTCCCCAGGTCACCTGTCACCTGTCACTTCTTTTGTATAAGTGTGTGTGTCCATTTTTCTTTATAATATATTTTTATTGATTTCAGAGAGGAAGTGAAAGGGAGATAGAGAGAGAAACATCAATGATGAGAGAGAATCATTGATCGGCTGCCTCCTGCATGACCCACACTGGAGATTGAGCCTGCAACCTGAGCATGTGCCTTTGACCAGAATGGAACCCAGGACCCTTCAGTCCACAGGCTGGCACTCAATCCACTGAGCTAAACCAGCTAGGGCCTCTCTTCTCTTCAATAGGCAGGTTGGAAGGGTCTCCAGGTGTTTGTGAGCCCTGGGGGATGACCGCACACACTCTGCTGGGCATCAAAGAGCATTTATGTGTATTATGTATCACACTTCCTGTGACTTGCAGCCCTGCGGGTCTCTGATCAGCCCAGCTGTGGGGACCATCCCGCATGGGCAAACAGCCCGGGACTCACTGTGTAAACACCTGAGGTGTGTGTGTGTGTGTGTGTGTGTGTGTGTGAGAGAGAGAGAGAGGGGGGGGGTGAGAGAGAGAGAGAGAGAGAGAGAGAGGCTCCAAGGTCAGGAGGCTGACATTGAGAGAGCACCTACTCTGTGCTAGGCACCACCTTCTAGGCTGAGAGGAAGCAGAGTCACAGCCCTCAGCTTCCAGGACAGCATAGCTCTCCTCAAGCTAGGAACCCCAAAGGCTCCGTCAAGTGTGTCAGACCATAGAGTCCTTCTGAAAAGGAGAAGAGAGAAGGAAGAAGAGGAGAACATGCAGCAATAACCTCAGTGTTCCACACATTCAGTTTCCATCCCCCCCCAAATCTTTGCTGTCGGTGAGCCCATTTCTCAGATAAAGAAACGGAAGCGAGGTGAGGTGCCCAGATCCAAACAACCGCTGAACGGGGGAAGCTGACATTTGAACTTGGGGCTGTGGAGTTTCTTGTTGTTTCTTTTCACTGGGTTTATTGGGGTGACCCTGGTTAACAAATTACAAAGGTTTCAGGGGCACAATCCCACAACACATCATCTCCACACTGTTGTGTGGTCACCACCCCCAGTCAGGTCTCTGTCACCATTTATCCCCCCAAACCCTCCTCTACCTGCCCTCTCTGCCCTCCCCTGGCAACCACCACGCTGACTGCCCATGCCCATAGGCTTTTCCTTTTGCTTTCTATTTCGCTCAATCCCTCTGCTCTCCCACTCAGCACCCCGATTCCCAACGGCAGCTGTCTGCCTGCTCTCTATCTATGAGTCTGTCTCTGTTTTGCTTGTTAGTTCCGTTTGTTCAATAGATGCCACATATGAGTGAGATCATACGGTACCTGTCTTTCTCCGCCTGGCTTATTTCACTTAGCGAAGTGCTCTCCAGACTCATCCATGCGGGTGCAAACGGTCAGATTTCCTTCTGCTTTACAGCCGAGTAGTATTCCGTTGTGTGGATGTGCCACCGCTTTTTTACCCACTCCTCTGCGATGGGCACTTGGGCTGCTTCCAAATCTTGGCTACCAACATAGGGCGCATATATTCCTTCAAATTCGTGTTCGGGGTTTCTTCAGACAAATTCCCAAAAGTGGAATCGCTGGGTCATGAGGCAGTTCCATGTTTAATTGTTGAAGAACCTCCATCCACGCTGCTTTCCACGGCAGCTGTGCCAGGCTGCGCCCCCACCATGATGCACGAGGCTCCCCTTCTCCACACATGCTGTTTGCTGACTCGCTGACGGCAGCCGCTCTGACAGGGTGAGGGGGGTCTCACTGTGGTTTTAGTTAGGGGAGCTGTTTTCTAGCCTGGGCAGTGCGCTCTGTGGACAGGCCATTGGGACCTGGACCCCACCAGCCTGGGTCAGCCCTCTCAGGGCCGAATAGTCCTGGGGGGGGTGGGGCATCCTGTGCACAGTAGGGTGTTTGGCAGCATCCGTAACCACAACCCACTAGACGGCCGGAGCACCCCACATGCAGTTGTGACCAAATGGCCCCTGGAGGACAAAGTCACCCCAACTGAGAACCACTGGCCCAGGTGCTCACCCTGGTCCCACCGCTTCTCAGGGACAGGACATTGGACAAGCAGCTACCCGCTCTGGACCGCAAGGCCCGCATCTGTAAAATGGGAAAATGCTAGCACATGGGGTTAATAGGAGGACCCACCATGGACGGGCTCAGGACGCGGCTCTTTGCCCCGCTGCCGCCTGCTGCTCTCCCCACCCCCCACCCCAACTCGGGCAACGTGACCATGGGAACGCCGCGAGAACCAGCTCCCAACACGAGAACAAGGGCTGTTCTGGTCCTGGTGGAGTGCAGAGGCTGACGGGGGTGCCCTGCGGCCCCTCTCCCCTGCCGGGCGGTGTAGACTCCACGGCCGGGCTGCCAGGTCCATGCCCAGCTCTGCCGCTCCCAAGCTCCATAGTCCTGGGCTGTGGGTCAGCCTCCTCATGCCTCCATCGCCTCGTCCGTGAGTGGGTGATAAAGTGCCCGCCCCCCGGCTGAGCGTCAGCTGAACGACCTGGTGAAGACAGGGCCTGTGTGACAGACCTCACAGCTCCAGGGCCTCAGCACAGGAGCGCCTCTCTCTCCTCCCCGGTGCCAAGCACCGCCCCATTCCCAGGCCCAGGCGGGAGCCAGCCCCTCTGCCTGGCGCACTCTTCCTCCTGGCGTGAGAGGTGCTCCAACCCTGACTGCTTCATCTGGTCTCTCTCCATCAGCCTCCTCCAGGAAGCCCTCCTGGATCACCCCGAGTAACACAGCTATGTCACTGCTCTCGCCGTTTCCCGTGGCGTCACATCGATCACGGCCGCCTGGCGGGACAGTTCAGGCTGCACGGGGCCACGCACGGCCGTCCGCCCGGCCCAGTCCGGCCCAGTCCGGCCCATCTGCGTGTCTCTCCCCCTGAAAAGCAGCTCAGGACACGGAGCCCCGGCTGGGTGACCAGATCCCTGGAACAGTGCCCACCACACGGTCGTGTAAACAATCGAACGGACTGGTATTTTTCAGAAGGGGCTTCCACAATCCCCACATAGCCCCTACTTCCCAACACAGAGACGATGTGAACGGGGGTCTAGAACGATGTTTGCCACGAAAGCTTTGGCCTCTAACCGCCTGTCTAAAACAGCTGCGGTTTTTGAGACGTCCAGGTCAAGCGGAGTTTCTCAAACGGGGTTCCCTGACACTGTGGTCTGGGGAGAGCCGGGATAAGGAATTCCCCTTTTAACAGGGTTCGCCAGAGCAGAGAGTGGGAAACAATGCAGACTCCTCTCCCGCGAGAGGCTTCTCGCTGCACAGGGACCGCTCCAGGCCGTCCGGGGAGGAAAGGGCACTGAGCCTTGTTTCCCCCTGGACTCTGTCCACTCGCATGTGCACCGCGGAGCACAGTGGACAGCGGAGTCTGAGGCCAGGGAGCTGTGTCCACAGCCACTTCCTGAACCACAGAGCAGGCACCTTGCACCGTCCCAGTGCTTCCCAGGGGGCCCATTTCGCTCTCGGCTCACAGGAGCTCAGAAAGGAAACTCAGATTCCAACATCAATTTGACTAAATCATATAGGAAAATGAAATGTTCCAAGTCATACCTGAAAATGAATGTTTCAAATAGGATCTGCTTTCCATTTCGCCGTTCTGAACAGTCACTTACTCATTCAACAAACAACTGTTACACATCACGTGCCGGGCACTGCACACTTTACAGTGAATGAGACAGGCTGGCCAGTGGACTCGGACAATGAAGTGATCCCTAAGAGGAGCCAAATGCATCGAGTGGGTCTCGATAAACCTGCTTCAAACGGGTGGCCGGCTGTACGGAACTGCACATCCATATTTCCTTTGCTCTCGCCAACAGTGCTCAGACTCGGCTCCGACGGCAGTGCACTGCTCTTGACCAGGATGGTTCTGGAACACGCCCCTCCCCCCCTTTCTGTGCAGATTTCCAGGAGGGGGGATGACTGGACCTCATTGGGCATTTTGGGGAGCCCCTCAATGCATAGGTTTTTCAAGTTCGTTCAAATGTCATCTCTCGCTCCTACGTTTTAGTTAAAGTGCATTCCCTCGTTGCTTGTTGTCTGCAAATAAAAACCCCTGTTTCAAACTGGGATTTGGTTTTCAAAGCAGGTCAGCATGTCCAAGTCCCTCAGGATGCACGATTGGTCAGAAGTCCGTGTCTAATAAAAAATTCTGAGGCATCAGAAGCTCTTGAAGATCCCCTGGCCCAGGCGCTGGCCAGCTGCTCGGTGGTGGAGCATCAGCCTGCCACCAAAGTGTCGATGGGTCCATTCCCGGTCAAGGGCACGTACCTGCGTTGCAGGTTTGTTCCCCTACCCCAGCCAGGGAGGGTGCACAACCAATCGATGCGTTTCTTTCACATCAATGTTTCTCTCTCTCTCCTCCCCTCCTTCTTCCACTCTCCTACTCTCTCTAAAAATCAATGGAAAAACTATTCTCAGGTGGGGATTAACAAGAAACAAACAAAAAGATCCTTCGGCCTGCGTGCCTCTTTGAGGCCAAGCTGTCTGTAAAGGAACATGTGCGTCCAGACCCAGCAAGGTCCTCCGGACTTTGAAAGCATGCGTTCATGGTTTCTGCAGGAGCATCCTGCAGACCCATCTGGCAAAGCAAGAGAGTCACCATCACACACGTAATCTGTGTTTATTAGACTCCAGGGCACGTCGGGAAGAATTCCTCAGCCATCAGAGGGCACGGAGAGCAGTGCTGCTTAAGCACGGGCCCCAGGAAGCAAGATACAGGAGGGCCGCCCACCCCATCAGCACTGCACACACACTGAACCTGTTTAAAAAGCAGCCCAGCCCAAGGCACTGAGCCATCCATCCGTTTAAAGGGGCAGGAAGGAGTGTATATTTTTAAGACCAAATACCTTTTTTTTTTTTTTGTAAGGACCAAACACCACCTCTAAAAGGACCGTTGGTCCACACCTGCCAGACTGGGGTATATAAGACTGAATTTGTCCCAATTGCTTCTGCCAATTCTTTCAACAACAAACCAATCAGGTAAGGTTTCTAAGCACAAACGCTACCACACAGAGCGCGGAGCGATGATGATCCTGCAACACTGGACGTGTGTGTGTGTGTGTGTGTGTGTGTGTGTGTAAATGTTGTATGTGTGTTCTCCGTACTCTGTAGTGTCTGGGCAGCTCTGTAGATCCACGAAGGGCATTTGTATGCAGTTTAGTGTGTGTGTGTGTAAATGTGTGTAAATGTGTGTAAGAGTGTGCACGTGTGTGTGTGCGAGTGTAAACGTGTGTGTGTGTGTGTGTGTGTGTGTGTGTGTGTTCTCCATGTTCTGTAGTGTCTGGGTGGCTCTGTATGTCCATGAAGGGCATCTGTATGAGTCTAATGGAACCCACTTGAGGTGAAAGGCTTCGTTTTGCCTAAAGAAGTGTCCCCCTCACAGTCCAGCTCCCAGACAGACTGGGCGGCAGGGTCATCCTCTGGGGACGCCTGAGCCTGAGAGAGCTGGCACATGAGGTTCAGAGGGCCCTCCTCCGCCTCCCCCTCTCTGTGGCCGGGAGTCCCCTCGCCCGGGACCACGTGGCTGTAGGCGGCGGCCGCGGCCTCCCCGGAGAAGACCGTGTCCTGGTCGCAGGAGAGGAGCTCATTGCTGCCGGTCACCGTGGCCACCCGGGGGCGAGGGGCGCAGAGGCGGCCGCACCCCAGCAGCTGGGCGAACACCCTGCGGAAGTCCGCGTTGAAGGCGTAGATGATGGGGTTGAGGGCGGAGTTGGCCCAGCCGAACCAGACGAAGATGTCGAAGGTGGTGTCACTGACGCAGGGGAAGCCTGAGGCTGTGCCGTCGGCGCGCCGGCTGCAGAAGGGAGCCATGCAGTTGAGCAGGAAGAAGGGCAGCCAGCAGCACACGAACACCCCCATGATCACCGACAGCGTCTTCAGCACCTTGGTCTCCTTCTGGATGGACGCCCGCAGGCCGGGCACGGGCGCCCCGTCCGCTGCGCCCCCGCCCCGCTGCGCGCGCTGCCCCGCCCGCTCCAGGCAGGCGATCCGGCGGATCTGCGCGTGCGCGATGCGGTAGATGCGCGCGTAGGTCACGACCATGATGGCCACGGGGATGTAGAAGCTGATGAGCGAGGAGGCGATGGCGTAGGTGCGGTTCAGGCTGGAGTCACAGTTCTCCTCCCGCGCCTCCGGGTCCCCCGCGTCCCCCCAGGACGTCCCGTTGGCCGGGTCCGGGGCACCCCGCGAGCCCGCCTGGTCCCGGTGCCAGTGCAGCTGGACCGGGATGAAGGAGATGAGGACGGACAGGGTCCAGGCCAGGCCCACCATGACCAGGGCCACGCGCCGCGTCATCCTGCGCTGGTAGCGGAAGGGGCTGGCGATGGCCCAGTAGCGGTCCACGCTGATGACGCACAGGTTGAGGATGGAGGCGGTGGAGCACATGATGTCGAAGGCCACCCACACGTCGCAGAAGGCCCCGAAGGGCCAGCGGCCGGCCACCTCGGCCACGGCCTTCCAGGGCATCACCAGCAGGGCCACGAGCAGGTCGGACACGGCCAGGGACACGATGAACACGTGCGTCATCCTGGCGCGCAGGTGGCGGCTGCGCACGACGGCGGCGCACACCAGCGCGTTGCCCAGCAGCGTCCACACGACGAGCAGCGTCAGGAGGCCGGCGGTGAGCACCTGCGCGGGCCCCGGCGCCGCCGCCCCCTCCGCGCCGTCGAGGGCGCCCCCCGGAGCCGGCGGCCGCGGCCCGGATGGCAATGGCGCGGGGAGCTCCGTGCCAGGGCGCCCCCGCGGCAGCATGTCGCACTCGGCCTCCTCCTCCTAGGCGGCGGCGGCAGGGGCGGGCTGCGTGAGCTCCAAACGTCGGCCCTGTGCCCCCCGGGCGGCCCCATCGGGCACCCGGGCGGGGGGAGCGCGAGGGAACCCGGGGCCGAGGACCCCAGAGCCCCCGGGGGCGCTCACCGTGCGCTGCGCTGGGGCCCGGGGCGCGGGGGCGCTGCTCCCCTCGGGCGCCTCGGGGCGGCGGGTCGCGGTGCGCCCCTTCGGAGCCGGGGCCGGGCGCCCGCAGCGGGGACAGGAAGTAGCCGGGCCCGCGGGGCTGTTCCTGGGAGCGCGGAGCGGCGTCTGGTTCGGAGCCGGGGACGCACCCCGGAGCTGGTCACCGCCGAGGGGGCGGGGGCGGCCGGCTGGAGGCCAGCGTGGCGGTGGCGGCGCCGCCGGGGTCCCCGCGGCTCCCGGGCTCCCGGGCCCTGACTCCCGGCCCCGCGCCGCCTCCGCGTCTTCTTCGCTCTGGGCGCGCGCGCCCCACGGGTTCCCGAGTTCCGGGGCGCCCTCTCCTGCTCACCCGCTTTTCGGCCGGCGCCCGGGCAGGGTCCCCCTGCGCCCTGCCTGGCGGAGCCTGGGGACGAACCCGCAGAACCCGCAGGTGCCAGGGGCACCCCAGCGCCAGAGGCCCGCGGCGCGCCGGGCAGAACGCGCCCGGGAAGACAAACAGGCGCCAGCCCAGCCCCGCTGCCCGCGCTGGCCATGACCATGTTCAATAAACAGGAAGGTGGGGTAGGGGAGGGAGGGGGCGGGGTGGGAGGTGGGAGAAGGGGGGAGCACTGGGCTGCAGGCATGGAGAGAGCGCTTGTGGGGTACAGGGGGACGGGCGACTCTGGGTGTCTCCCAGACCTGAGTCCCAATTCGGACTGGATTCGAGGCTGTGTGACCTTGAGCGCGGACCTTGACCTCCCTGGGCCTCGGCTCCCCATCCTCACAACCGGGCAGTGATGCCCACGCCCGCGGGTGCTGGAAGGGTCCCTGAAACCGGCCACGAAGGCCCACCCGCTCCCTTCTCCTGGGCCCCGGGGCAGGAGGCTGTCTCCTGGGAACGCCTCCCCCCCCTGCCCCTGCACTCACACTCCTTCTGAGATTGGGGGTTCGCCTGGCCTTGAGAGAGTCCTCTTTCCTACCAGCACCCCCAATTCTAGAGCCTCTGCGCTTTGGGGGATAGCTGCTGGGAACCCGGAGACAAGGAGCGGAAGGGGCCCAGCTGGGAAGGGGTACTGGGGGGCGGGGGAGGGGAGCTCCCCTCTGCCACAGGCTTCCTCCTTATTCACCCTGAGAGGAATGGATTCATAGCACCTCGGTGCTTCACAGTAGGGGAAACTGAGGCCTCACTGGGTGGCCCAGGGCTAAAATTAAGGGGGGGAAAGAGAGAGAGAGAATGAAAGAAAGAAAAAGGTGGAGAAAGGCTGGGCAGGGAGAGCCCTGTTCCAGGATCTCACCACGCCTCCGTGGACAAGTTCCGCCTGCGACCCGCCCATCTCTGCCCCGTGCAGCTCAGGGAAGGCAGCTGGAGAGAAATGAATGGGGCTTCATCCCCACTGAGACCCACTGTGAGGTCCAGAAACGGGGGCTGGACCCTCCCCCTCCACTCAGAAACGCCTGCCGCTTCCCCTGGAGCCACACCTCAAGGCCCCAGTTCTCAGACTCAGCCGGCTCATCCTTTCCCCCTCCCACCTCCCCCAGGCTCTCTGCTGTTGGGGATGGCAAGACCATCTGTCCAGATGCCTACGCCTAGAACTGCAGGCACACTCGCCACCTGTCTCCCCATCTCCGAGGCGCTGGACCACTCCTCTCCGTCCCTGTCCAGGACTGTGTCCTCCCCGCCCTGTTTTATGGGGACACTCTCCTGGGTTCGGGCACTCTGGGTCCTGCTGTGAGCCTCTGTGAGCCTCCGATCAACGGCAGGCAGAGCGATCCTTGTCAAATGTAACTGTGAGCGTGTCACCCCCACCCCCCCCCAACGGACAGCCCTGGGAGCTCCCTGGGACCCCGATCCTTAGACAGTCAGGGGAGGACTTTTATTCTCTTCATCACCTTGCCCTTGCTCGGTGCTCCTGCTTCTCTTGTTGTTCCTCCCCGTCCGTAGGCAGCTGTGATTCAAGCCACTGTCCTACACGCGTGCGCGCTTACACGCCATCTTCCTACTGGGTCGCATGGTCACCCTCACTCCCCTCCTGTCCTGGAGAACGCCAACTTGGGAGGTCAGAAGAGAGCTTGGGTTTTGGAGACGGGGTTTGAATGTCAGTTTCTTTCTTTTTTTTTTATAAACAGATTTTATTTATTTATTTTTAGATATATTTAATTGATTTTTTACAGAGAGGAAAGGAGAGGGATAGAGAGCTAGAAACATTGATGAGAGAGAAACATCGACCAGCTGCCTCCTGCACACCCCCCACTGGGGATGTGCCCGCAACCGAGGTACGTGCCCTTGACTGGAATCGAACCTGGGACCCTTCAGTCTGCAGGCAGACGCTCTATCCACTGAGCCAAACCGGTTTCGGCTGAATGTCAGTTTCTTATTCTTTTATTCAGCAAATATTTATTGAGCACCTGTTACGTCCCAAATGCTGTTTTATCCGCCAGGAATGCAAGAGTGTATGTAAGTATTGTCCTTTCAAGGTTATAGTCCAGTGTTAAAGAGAGACTTAACCCGAGATTTGTCCTGAGAAAGTTACAGCTGTGCCCAGGGCTAGGAGGGAGGGGACAGAGCATTCTGAGGGGCTGAGGGAGGCCAGACAGGTAAGGAAGGCTGCCCTGGGCAGTCCCTCTTTGGGTTGACATCACAGCGAAGTGGACAAGAGGGAAGACGGGGAGAAGGAACGGTGGGGCAGACAGGAACCGGCATTTACTAGCTGTCGGAACTTGGGCAAGTTCCTTGGAATCTTCACGATGGGCTGATCACAGCAGTTTCAAAGGCAAGTGTGATGAGGCCAAAGTAGATCCTCCACGAGTGGCTCTGAGCCTCCCTTCCCCTCTGGCAGTGGCTGTGTCTTAGAGAGAAAAAGGATGTCTCTGAGCCTCTCGCTCCAGGCACAGCCTGGTCTTCCCAGTTACAAAAACCAGGAAGTCACCCTTTGCTGACATGTGTTTCAGTTGTCACCTGCAACTGAGAAGGCCCTGCCGCACACAGGAAATAAGCAAGGTGTCTTAGTCAGATGGTGGAGTGAGAGCAATGGGGTGGACTGGCCATCGGGGTGGACAGCCAGAATAGGGCTGCACAGGAGAGAGGACACGCAGGCTGCGGGTAAAGCATTCCGGGGTGAGGACATTCCATACAGAGGGAACAGCATGCGCAAAGGCTCAGAGGCACGGCGCTCCATGGGGGAAGGGCAGGTTTTCAGAACTCTAAGACTTTTCTCTCCGAGGACAAGACCCTATGCGCGCAGAGTGACAGTACGCAGCCAGGCCGCTGCCTCACGTGTCTGTCCCCCATTACTGGGACGGCTCCAGAGCAGCGTGCTGGGGGCCGTGGCCGCCCTTACTCACCAGGCCCTTTTCCACGGTTTTCGGAAGAGCGGGGCAGAGTAAATAAGCTGCAACCCAAGGAGTGTCTTCAGTCAACCTCAGAAGAGACAAGACGCTAATAAACTCCTTATCTCTCACCTGGTCCCTGCTGGGCCCTGTCTTCCGAGGACACAGCCAGGAGGCGATCTCCTCCCACACAAGTGTGCTAAGAGGAAGTTTTCCTAATGGCGGGGAGGGGGGGGGGGGCCCCCCGGCAAATATTCTGCAGTATCAACTCACTGATCCTCCTTTCCCCGAAGGCATATTCCAAATGGGATTTGTCTCCCTGAGCCCAATAGCCTAATCCCGGAATCGATAGGACCGCAGCGAGGGTTTGCGGTGGTGGCTGCTGCTGCGGCTGCTATCAAAAAGCCACGCTTTTTATACCCAGACTGGCCTGGCTCCTTGGCGATGGGTCACCCCTGAACTCCCCCGGCGCCAGCCCTGCTGACGTGCTCAGCCTGGCTCGGCAGAGCCCAGGCAGGAGGAGATGGCCCGTCACCTGCATCCACCCTGCAGCCAGAAAAGCCACCTCGCTTATGGATGGTGACCCAAGGCCTCAGCAAACCCCAAGGTCAGTGCCCGGGACCCTGCCTCCCGCAGCTCAGAAGCACGGGGAGCTGAGAACAGCCGTGTCAGGCAGGCGGAAACAGTTATGCCAGAAGGTAGCACAGGCGTGCAGATAAGGAAGGGAGGTGGGCTTGCAAGTCAGACAGTCCTGGGTTCACATCCCCCCTCTCTGGCTTACTAGCTCAGCTCTGGGACCTGGAACAAGTTACTTAACCTCTCTGAGCCTGAGTTTCCTCATCTTTAAAATGGTAACATTAGCCCTAGCTCGTTTGGCTCAGTGGATAGAGCATCGGCCTGCAGACTAAAGGGACCCGGTTCGATTCCGGTCAAAGTCACATGCCTGGTTTGTGAACTTGATCCCCAGTGGGGGGGTGTCATCATTGATGTTTCTATCTCTCACTCTCCCTTCCTCTCTGAAATCAATAAAAAATTATATTTAAAAAAATAATAATCTACACTAATAAAAGAGAAATATGCCAATTGATCATCAGTTCAAAATGCCCACCAGCCAATCAGGAATGAGTATGCAAATTAACCTCATCACCTCCGTGGAGACTGACAGCAGGGCGGAGGCAGCTTCCAGCACCACCTGCTTGGCCATCGCCACAGCGACCTGGGAGCAGGCAAGCATGGCTGCAGGCAGCACCCAGCACAGCCTCAGCAACCTGGAAGCAGCACCCAGCACGGCCTGCTTGGCCGTTGCTGCAGTGACCGGGCAGCAGGCAAGTGCAGCCCTCGGGGGTCCCAGATTGGAGAGGGTGCAGGCTGGGCTGAGGGACACCCCCTCCCCCCAGTGCATGAATTTCATGCACTGGGCCTCTAGTATTGTAATAACTCTGTATGGTGCCAGGTGGGTACCTGAAATATAGGGAGGATCACTTTGCAAATTATGTAATTGTCTACCACTAGGTGGTACACCTGAAACTAATATAAAAAAAATACTGAATATCAACTGTAATTTAAAATGAAAAAAAAAATTTAATGCTAACATCAATATTTACTGTGCAGGGCTATTATGAATAAATGACATGCTGTACTTAGGAAATGGTAAGTTGGTATTAGTCAGGTTTTGTTATAATGCTGCATAACAAACAACCCCCCCCACCCCCAATTTAGTGGCTTAAAACAGCAAACACTTCTTTCTCACTATTGGTCTGTGGTCAGCTGGGAAGGTTGTTCACTCTTCTTCTATAAGTTTGAAATTATCTCAGAATAAAAGAAATCTTAAATTAATATATTGATTAGAAATGCCTTCAGCTGTGAGTATCAGAAAAACCTCACTGCTCGTGGCTTATACAATAAAGACGTTGAATTCTCTAATGTAACAGGAAGTTAAGAGGAAGCAGGCAAGGGCTGGTGCAAAAACTCAGCTTCTTTTCATTTTTCCCCCCTCTTTTCACACAAATCTCTCCTTTATCCACATTGTGGCTTTGTGACCCTGGGAGCCTCATGGTCGCCGGGTGGCTGTTACAGCTTCAGGCACCACGACCAAATCCAAACTCTGGTAGCAAAATGCAGGGAAGCCACATCAGAGCGACTTCTCTTTATGTGTCTCTTGCCGGTCACCATGGAGAAAATCTTAGAAGGACCTCATGTCCCATCGGCCAGAACTGAATCACGTGGCTGCCCCTGGCCACAGGCAGATGGTGCACTGTTCCAAGTACAAGGCGGAGGGCGCTGAAAGCCGAGGTTTGGTTTAAACAAGCTATGACCCACCACCTGAGACAGGGCGCTTCGGTTTCCAACCAAAATCAGGGTTTTCTATTATAATCAAGCAAAGGAATCACTGCCGAGAAGGCAATGGACAGTGTGTGCCCTCCAGAGGCTTTGGAGCAAGCATGCCACACTCGCCGGCCGCGGACCCCGTCCATTGGGCCCCGTTAGCCTGGGGGGGTGACATGCTTGCTTTGGGGGAGGTGTGCTTCTTCCCTTTGAAGGACAGGAGCAGAGCCCGCCAGCCTCCGTGGAGGTGGCCCACTTCTGGTCGTTGGAGCAAGCAGAGAGGAGTGCGTTGTAGCTCAGGGTTCTGCTGAACTCTTCTTAAAAAACCTATATTTTTATTGACTTTCAGGGAGGGAGGAGAGAGAGATAGAAACACCCCCGATGAGAGAGAATCGTTAATCAGCTGTTTCCTGCATGCCTCCTCCTGAGGACCTTCGCACTGACCCCTGACCTCCTAGTTCATAGGTCGGAGCTCAACCATTGAGCCATACCCCCTGGCTCTGCTGAGCTCTTTCTTGCCAGCCAGCCTTCCAGCGCCACCTTGTGCCTGACAGGTTCACCAGAAGCTGGCAGAGCCTCTCACAGACTATTCCAGGAAACTCACCCATCACGGATGCCCACCTTGTTTCCGGTGCTGCCCCACACCCTGCAACAGCCTGGTGGTGTGAGGGTGGCCAGGTGTTCATGTGACGATGCGGTGAGATCCTGGGAGGGAAAGCGGCAAAGTCCCTGCTCACACAGGCAGGCAGTCCTCTCCAGGAGAGACAAGCGCACACACAATAAACACCTCGTGTGTAAGGTGCCGCGGTGAAGGGTAACGAGTGTGTGCGTGCAGATGACCAGAGTAGCCCTAGCTGGGGTGGGCCTGTGGGCGTTCAGAGATCATAATAATCTGTCCACTCAGTGCAAATGGCCAGAGCACACCTCACTCTGTAGGGACCTCCCCCAGGGCCTAAAGAATGAGAAAGAGACTGATCCATTTCAAGGAGCCCGAGAAATACACTCCCAAGGAGAGTAGCACGTGCGAAGGTCCTGGGGCACAGAAGAGTTTGGGAGAGTCGAGGAAGTGAGGGAGACATATGCGGCTGCAGCAGCGCCCCTGGGTGCCTGGGGGGTGGGGGGGAGGCAGAGGAAGGGACTGGCAGGAGAAGAGGGTTTATCAGGCCGGCTTGTGAAGATCCCCATAGACCACGGTTAGGAGTTTATCATTTCTTCTAAAAGCAACGGGAAGCCATGGGTGGGCTTTTAGCAGGTGATCTGATTTAACTGACATCTTTTGGACAACTAGCATTATCATGATTGTGGTGGTGTTTCATATTAGTGTGGCTACAACACCAGGCCAGAATGTCCATCCCTTCTTGCCAGAAGCCAGTCCCAGCATGTCAGCAGGGTTGAATCATCTGGAAATGGCTGAGGGCATTTCCCCAAACCTGAAAAAGATGCATAAATTGCTTGCTGCCAGACAGCTCAGGGCATCTTAATCTACATGTTATTGTCTCCTCTTGGCCAAGCACCTGAACAGCCTTAGGCAATTCACCAATCTGACAATAGATTCTGTGTACCAATCCCTGGCCTTTGAAGTGTATATCTACCTTGCCTTAGGACAATTTGTGTTAACAAAAAGCAAGGGGTCCTGAGACAAGGGAGCATTTAGTTCCTTTAGCTAAGTCTTCTCTGGCTCCCCAAAATGCCTTCCAAAATTATGTTTTGTCTCTGGACTCTTATTTAATTTACACACAGTGCTTCTCCAGATTCCTGGACCCTTCTAGATGCTGGATCAAGAACCCTGGCACGTCTGAGCATTAAAACACTGCACTCACCACTCACCCTCCTGGTGCTCCCCTCGGGCCTGCTCTCAGGGAGAGCGAAGGTCACGATCATTCTCATCAGACCCAGGAAAGTGCCATCCCTGCCACCCTCAAGCTGGGGACTTTCCTCACCCAAGGACATCCTGCACCCACCATCTTCCTCCAACAGCCAGTGTTTCTGCCCAGGCTGTGGAAGAGCATGACCAGCAGGTCAAAATACTTTTTAAAAAGGCAAGTTACATGCAAATTTAATAAATATAAAAATAATCCGTGTGTGTGTGTGTGTGTGTGTGCACTAATACTTAACTAGGTGCTCAAGATTAACAGCAATTACCTCTATATCACAATTTACCTCTTTAAAAAAAAAAAAAAAGTTTTATTAATTTTAGAGAGGATGGGAGAGAGAGAGAGAACTACCAATGATGAGAGAGAATCATTGATCGGCTGCCTCCTGCACGCCCCCTACTGGGGATCAAGCTCACAGCCCTGGCATGTACCCTGACTGGGAACCAAACCATGACCACCTGGTTCATAGGTTGATGCTCAACCACTGAGCCACACAGGCAGGGCTATATCACAATCTCTCAATCTCAGCACTATTAACATTTGGGGCCATTAACTCTGTGGTGAGAGCCCATCTGTGAATTGCAGAACTTCAGCAACACTCCAGCCCTCTACCTACTAGATGCCAGAGACACCCCCTAATGGTAGCCATGGAAACATCTGCAAACATCGCTGTAGGTCCCTAGGGAACAGGTTGTGGCAGCTGGAGAACCACCGCCCTCGGTGATGTTTCCCTTTGTTTGTAGCATATCTGCCCGTTTTTAGTTGTGTGTGTTTTTTCATAAAATAAACATAACGTACTTTAATCATGTAAAAACAAATCAGTGTTTCTTAATGTCCCATTGCCTGTGCTGTGAAAAACAACAACAATCAGATGAAAAGTCGTTCGCATTCATAACAAGTAAACTAACTTTATTATGATTTTAAGATGAGTATAAAAAAACACACACACAAAGGCCTCCTAATTGTCTGTATTCCTCACGAGGCTTTCCGATAGCCTCAACCGTTAGCCGAGGCATTCTGAGCGTAAGCACACACCTTCACAGAGAATTCTAAATGTAGATAAGGCTTTACACATATGGTTAGTCACCACAGAGTCGCTCATAAGAGCAAAAAGTAATAGACACTAAAGCCAGCACAAGGAAACAAAGCCAGTCATGGCACATCCCCTGGGCAGACTGTAACACAGCACTCACATGACACTTACAGGGCGTGGGTAGCAACGGAGGGAGGTCTATGGCAGACGCTACGTGGGGGAAATGCGCACAAAATGGGCGCTGTCACAGCACTATCACGTCGTCACGGGCAAGTGCGACAGTGGCGGTGATGACAAGCACCGCAGCATCCACCGCTAAAAGGCGCACACCACCATGGCAGAGCGGCTGTCTGCTTACCAGCGGCATTCTGGGAGATTCTTGTCTCCCTGTCTCCTGGACTGTCTGAACATTCTTACCGTGAGAGAGAACACAGAAAAGTCCACATTTTTAAAAAACTTCAAAATGATCACAAACGAAAAAGGCTCAGGTAAGAAATGTATCTTTAGATGGATCAACGCACAAATTTCCATCCAAACCATAGAAATAACTTTGTTAAAAAATTAAGCACAGGCAGACAGTACAATACAGACTAAATGTGATCGTATCGACATTCGCCAGCTCCAGGGAGGGCGCCGTTTATGGGGTGACTCGCCGACGCAGACAGTATTGAGAAGCTAAATGCAGTCACATGATGAATTGCAAACACGAGGTGGTTTTTATGAAAAACAAACGGGATAAACAGTTTCCCAACCGAGGATCCCATTCTTCAAAAACAGAGGCCCCGTTTGGAAGGAGATGAAATGGGCTTTGACTAGAATGCAGACAGGGACGGGTTTCAGCCGCCTCATCGATTCTGGCCTCACTTGTTGACATTCTCCCGGGAAGATGCACCGTCCGGCCCACGGGGCACAACCCGGGCGGACAAAAGGCAGCCTGGCATCTGAGGCGATGTTTGCCCAGCCTGGCCGCCCAGGTGGCTCCGGGGAGCGCCTGCCTTTCATGTGCATGCACACTAGATCTTACAATAGACCTCGAAGAGGGAGGCAGCTGCGTGCATCCGGTAGAAAATGGAGAAGGGCATGGCCAGGTTGACCACGATGATCCAGGGCTCGAAGCCAAAGACGATTTCCTCCAGGCCATTGTCGTACTCGGGCCGGCAGCCGAAGGCGGGAGGGATCCACAGCTGCAAGAGAAGGGAGACTGTTCTGGCCCCAGCCAATCCCGGGGTCCTCTGGGCAGGGAGCCTGGGACAGCCTCTGCCCCAGGGCTGTGCGGTCCCCAATGTGCCTTCCTTTCCCGAGTCTTCAGGGCTTGCCTCCTGCCTCTCTCTCTCTCTATCAGGGACCACCTGGCTTCCCTCTGCTACATCCTACCTTCCTCCAAGCCCTGAGACACCACCTCTCCCAGGAAGCCCTCCATCCCTCTGTGCTCCCTGCGCCCCCAGGGTTTACCTACAGCTAAGGTCGCCTGTGGGCCACACCCACCTGCAGGTACCTACACCGGTGCCTGGAGCCCTCGGCCACATGGTCTGGGCTGTGAGTTCTGTGGTGTCCTCGCTGGCCTGACCTTGGCTTAGAGAGCAGCCCAGACCCTGCCCGCATCCCCCTGGTCAGTGTGTGTGTGCGGGTGGGGAAGGACAAGAGGGAGAAGAGCACCTGCTTTGGGGCCAGCCCTGAGTTCATGCTCCTCCTGCTCCTGCAAGGCTACAACGTCTCCAAGCCTCAGTTTCCTCCCCTGGAAGATGGGAACACTAACACCTGTCTCAGAGGGCTCCGATGGGAATACAGTGGCAACTAATCTGCAAAACCTATTATTTCTGTTGCCTGTGGAACCTACACCCTGATCCCCCTCCTCAGTGTCCCTGTCCCTGTTCCTCTGCCTCCCTTAAATGCCAGGCTGCGGTCCGCTGCTCCGCCACACCGCTCCCTCTGAGCTCTCCCTCCCTCTGCACACCGCTCCCTCTGAGCTCCCCGTCCCTCTGCACACCGCTCCCTCTGAGCTCTCCCTCCCTCTGCACACCGCTCCCTCTGAGCTCTCCCTCCCTCTGCACACCGCTCCCTCTGAGCTCCCCGTCCCTCTGCACACCGCTCCCTCTGAGCTCCCCGTCCCTCTGCACACCGCTCCCTCTGAGCTCTCCCTCCCTCTGCACACCGCTCCCTCTGCACACCGCTCCCTCTGCAGCTCCCCCTCCCATGCGGTGCGGGCAGCCTCTTTGATGACCCCCAGGACCCCCTTCATGGAGCTCTGCCCCCTCGTGTCCTGCTGAACCTAGGAACTCGCTTCCGACAAACAGAATAGGACAAAGTGAGGGGGTGTCCCTGCTGGGATTAGGTTGCACCTCGCTCATCCCCTCTCACAAGAGAGGAAGTGGCTGCCACGTGGTGAGCTGACCACGGAGAGGCCACGTGGCCGGGACCGGCGGGAGGTGCATCCTGCCAGCAGCCACACAGGTGGGCTGGAAGCCGGCCCCCTCCCACCCCACAGTCAGCCTAGAAATGACTGCAGCCCGGCCGGCAGCTGGGGGGCCCCTGAGCAGAGGTGCCCAGCCAGGCTTGGATTCCTGACCCAGAGACACCCTGAAAAATAACGTGGGTGCATTTACGTTGCTGAGTGTGGGGGCCGTTTCGCACCCAGCAGTGGGTTCTAGAGAAGCGAGGGGGGGGGGGGGGGCCGCAGGGCCAGGGAGGAGGGAAGCAGATTACCGAGATGTTGCAGAGGAACAGGAAGGCTGCGATGTTCCTCAGGAGGCTCCTCTGGGGGCGGCCCTGCACGAGGCGGGGGGCCCGGGCCCCTGCCCAGTTCGGCTGCGCGTCCCCTGGGCCACTGACTTCCCTCAGGCACAGACTTCCGATGGCTGCAGGGGGCCTCCGGCTGCCCAGGTCCCGAGCCGCGGCGTCACTCTTGAGGCGGGAAGGAGCCAGGGGTGCGTGGCCGCCGTTGCAGACCACGGCCACCCCCAGGGCCCCGGCGTCCTCGCGGGGCGGGCCGGGCGCCCGGTGCGCGGCCTCGATGATGAACAGGTTCTGGACGTACTTCTCAGCGATGACCAGGACGGAGTAGGGCAGGTTGTACCAGGTGTAGGCGGGCCGGGCCTCGGCGCAGAGGATGGCCAGGAGCGAGCCCCAGGACAGGAGCCAGGAGCCCGAGGCCGTGCCCACCAGGAGGTCGGCGTCCAGCTTGCGGGCCGGGTTCCTGGACTCGTCGGGCGACGGCCCGTCCAGCCGGTAGAGCCGGAGGCCGGCCAGCCCCGCGGCCCCCATGAGCGCCAGCAGGGCGCTGGCGTACAGGTAGAAGAGGATGAGTGCGGACTCGCTCTTGGTCTTGGAGCGGCCGATGCGGACCAGGTACACGGCCACCACCCCGATGGTGGCCGCCAGCACCGCCAGGCCCAGGCCCGAGCCCGCCGCCACCCCCCGGAACCGGAACCGCATCTTGCGGTGCTGCGGGCCGTCCATGCTGCGCCCGATGTTCTTCCACAGCACGTAGAGCATGGTGGACGCCAGGATCTGGTACTCGATGTTGAAAGGGTAGAGGTAGTAGATGCCGTGGGAGATGGCGGCACAGAGGGCCGGTGGGGAGCAGTTGCAGGGCGGCGTGTGGTCATCCAGCTCTGGGGAGAGAGGGGCCAGGGGCGTGGACAAGCCGAAGGCAGTGTTGCTGCAAGCATGCCCGCGTGGGTTTCCCCGGGGAATTAATGATAGATCCTCCCTTCCTCCAACTGATGGACAGACATAAAACTGCACCTGCAGCCAGACATTCCTGAGCACTGAACCACCCATCAGCACCTGCCAAATACCCTAAACCCCCGATTCCCAAGTCCCTAGGTCCCTCATCATAGGCCTTACATGAAGCCACTAATCAGCATGTGCTGAGTGCCCTAAGCCCTGTCCCCTCTCTTTCCTCCCCTTAAAAAGTTCTTGTACCCGGGCCCTCGTCCCCTTCCACTCTCTCCCTCTCTCTCTGGAAGCAGCTGACAGTGGTCCTCTTCTCTTCAATAAAGCCTGTGTCCTGGCATCCCAGTCTCCGGCCCCCACTCTACTTCATCTTTTAATTAAAAACTTGATGTCACGGCTCATTATCACCTTTCATGTCCTGGCTAAACTGACCACCAGGAACACCCCCAAAGGAGAATTAACTACATGAATCACATTTTATCCACCCATTGGAATATCATATCATCAATCTATTAGAAATGTAGAAATTTACTTAGCAACACACACAACTGTGTGCAAGATAGCGTTGGACCAAAAAGCATTTTGCCGCCTGGCAGGAGTGACTCGGTGGTTGAGTGTCAGCCTATGACCCAGGAGGTCACAGTTCGATGCCCAGTCAGGCACGTGCCCAGGTTGTGGGGCTCAACCCCCAGGGTGGGACGTGCAGGAGGCAGCCGATCTCCACTGAGTGGCCAGATAGTGATGATCTCTGAATGCATAATCATCTGCCTACTCAGTGTATATCCCATATAATAAAAGGCTAATATGCAAATTGTCCCCTCGACCAGGAGTTCACCAGCAGGCAGGCCGGCCAACTGCCCATGTCCCCTCCCCCTGGCCAGGCTGGCCGGACCCTACCCATGCACAAATTCATACACTGGGCCTCTAATACACACACCACACACACACACACACACACACACACACACACAAACACACACAGTGAGTGGCCAGATTATTATGTGTTCAGAGATCATAATAATCTGGCCACTGAGTGTATATTCTCTCTCATCATTGATGTTTCTATCTCTCCCTCTCCCTCCCTTCCTCTCTCTGAAATCAATAAAAACATATTTTAAAACAGAAATTCAATTTTTTTAAAGCAGCTTGTCAAAGCCTCCAGAGATTGACTCTGCTTTTGTAAATCACAGATCTGTAGATGACAGAGAGAGAGATCGGGAAAGACATAAACGAAAACGCCAGCAATGGTCACTCTGGGAGGAAAATGGCCACTGGGTTTTCTTTCCAGTTTTCCAGCAAAGGAAATGTGGGTACACCCCTTTCCCAGCTTCACGGAGACACAACCAGCTCTCAGCACTGCGAGGCTGTGGTGCAGAGCCCATGATTTTCTTCTCGATGTTGCTTCCCCGCGCTTCCTAAACTCTCAGCGTGAATGTGATCACATGTGTGACTTAAACATTATTATTAAAACGTAACTTCAGGAGGGGAAGGCCCATCTCCTCAGCAGATATTTTCCTCTTGAGGCCATCCGATGCCGCCAGGTGGGGCCTAAGACAGCACTTCCATGTAGAGGGCCGCCTGAGAAGGCACATGGACGTCCTTTAAATTGTCAGTTGAGCTTGAGGGCTGAGGGTCTATTCAGTTTCTGACTTACCTTTGTCCAGGTGTCAGCAGGGGCGAGTCTAGATATGTAAATTCAGTAATGCTAGAGCCTAGTTAAGAATGCAAATAAGCTCCTTTGACCCTATAAATAAACCTGTGTGGCTTAGGGCGTCGCCTTGCTGCCTCTCCATCAGAGAAGATGGCGCCCACCTAGCGCCCAGCTTGATGAGTCTATTTCTGCCTCCATGTCTCTTTCTTTCTCTAATTTCTTTTTTTTATATATATATATATTTTATTGATTTTTTTTTTTTGCCCCCCTCCCTCCCTCTCTCTAATTTCTTAATCCCCAGCTCCTCCACTCAAGAACCTGTTGTTTTCCGTGATGGACACGGAAAACAGAGAAACAGCCCCCCGCACCTCCTGCCCCAGCGGCAGGAAGGCAAGTCCCACCACCTTCTGGAAGGCCTGGCCATATCACAAAGACACGCTCCATAGCCAGGAGGGGACCTGCTGGGGGTAAGAGATGAAACATACAACGAAAGCTAACATTGATGGGAACAAGACCCAAATCCGGTCCCCAGTCCACCGGCCCTTCCGCTACCCCACGTTCCTCTCAACCCCAGGGGCCCAGGGCCGAAGCTAAAGGCCGTGGGAAGAACACAGACAGGTGATTAGTGCTGCAGGCTCTCCCACCGGAGCGAGGAGGACCGACATGACAAGCAACGTCGACCTCGACGCAAACTTCAAATGAACTAAAACCAAACCTGCCATTAGCCGGCCCTGGGTCTTCAAAAGCTATACTTTCTGCAGAAAGAACGAAAGGCTTGTCAGGGCTTAATTACACACAGGCAGACACTACCGCCCATCTCCCATGGTCGTGCACAAAGCCGTGCGTTTCCATGCCAACCTGGGCCGTGCAGGGGGGGACCAGATGACCACCCTGCAGTCTGACAAGCCCTGAGTCATGGAGGAACCCTCTCATTACACTCAGCGCCCCCACTCAGGGGCCGGCAGGCAGACTTGGGGGGCGAGGGCGGGGGCTGTCTGTGGGCCTCGGGATGTGCTGGTGTCTGCAGGCCTCCTGGGCACGGCCACTCACCGATGGTGATGTTGCCGAAACCCAGGGTAATGAGCCGCTCCTTGTGCTCGTTCAGCTGGTGCTTCGACTCGTTCAGGACGCTGTTGGCCCACAGGAGCAGGTTGGTAAACACCGAGTGGATCACCCCGAACCTGCAAAACACACGGCCTTTGCATACACACACCGCACACGCACACGCACACACGGGGGCCTCCTTCTGAGCCATGATCCTGGTTTCATCTGGCAGCTCGGTCCCTGGGGGGGGGGGGGGGGTCCTCTGACTAGCTGGGAGGAGCAGTTCCACAAGAACTACCCAAACCACCGCCTCGGCATTCTGCCTCAACCTTGAACCTGCCAGTCCTCAACTCACTGTCTCGGGGACAAAAAGAAACTGGGTGTTGGCGTCAGGGACGTAGGGACAAGAGTTTGTTGGAAGCAGGCTATGAACCCTACGATGCCCCAGGTCCTTTCTCCTAGAGGGGAAGAGGAGAGAGCAACGAGGGGACGATGGCAGGGCTGCTGCAGACATCAGGAGAGTGGGGAACACCACTACTGTTGGTTGGCCAACCCAACCATCATCGTCTGCCCTCTCTGCCTCACCACCTACCCCTGACCACACTGAGCCAAGCCTGGGGCTTGCTGTCTGCCTTCCTTGCAGCTAGACACAGCCATGGTGGCCATGGGATGTGAGGTACTGAAAGCGTTTGTTTTCTTAATGAGTAAGATAAGCATAAGAAAGGCAGGCTTACTGTCATTCTTCCCTTTCTTCCCAGCCTTGAACATGAAGGCTGGAGTGTTGGAAGCCATATTGTGACCATGAAGCAACCAGCACAGGATGAAACCCTAACCCACTGAGGATGGCAGAGTGGAAACATTAAAAAGCCTGCTTTAGCCAGGACTGGTTTGGCTCAGCGGATAGAGCCTGCAGACTGAAGGGTCCCAGGTTCGATACCGGTCAAGGGCGTATACCTGGGTTGCGGGCACATCCCCAGTAGGGAGTGTGCAGGAGGCAGCTGATCAATGTTTCTCTCACATCGATGTTTCTAACTCTCTATCCCTCTCCCTTCCTCTCTATAAAAAATCAATACAATACAAAATCTAAAAAATTAAAAAAAATTAAAAATAAAAAAAAAATAAATAAATAAATAAAAGCCTGTTCTGGCCTGGCCAGTGTGGCTCAGTGGTTGAACATCAGCCTATGAACCAGGTGGTCACGGTTCTATTTCTGGCCACGGCACATCCCAGGTTGCAGGGTTGATCCCAAGTAGGGGGCATACAGGAGGCAGCTGATCAATGATTCTCTCTCCTCATTGATGTTTCTCTCCCTCTCCCTTCCTCTCTGAAATCAATAAAAAAAATTTTTAAAAAGAGACTGTGAGGACATTGGTGAGTTCTGATGTCTCCAACAGGTTCAGAAACGAGGTCACAAACAGAGGAAGGAGTGACATCGGGGTGTGAGGATTCAGTAAGCAGCAGGGCTGTTGTGGTCGAACTCCAGAGACCTGCCCTGGCCGCTATGCCATGTGACCTCCTAAGAAGGAAGAAAAGGGGGTGGATGCTGGCCTCAGGGGGACAGGGGAGAGATGTGCAGGGGCTATGGTCTAACGGAGTCACTGCCTATTTCAAAACCTTCAGCGTCTCCCCTGCCTGCAGGTTTGTGACGGAGTCACAGCGGTAGCTGCCAGGGCAGGCAGCAAGCGGGCCTGGCATGTAGCAGGCGTAGCTGGTGATTGGGGAGGAGGGGTGCGTCTTCCTTGAAACTGGCATGTGCAGATGGCTCCTCCTTGGAGAGCAGAGGCCCACAGGACGTTTGCCCCTCCCTGTCCCACCAAGAACAGCGAGCGTGCCGTGATCAGCCTGCAGGACAGCCGACCGAGTGGGTCCTCAACCCTGGCCTTGACTCTGCTCTGAGTTCTAACACCATCTGACACCCCTGGAGCTCCCTCGAGTGACGTGGCAAAACCTGGCTTCTTTTGGCAGCTGTGCAATGTGCAGGCGCCCCTGGGGAAGGAACCAGCCTCCCCGGAGTGCTGGCCACGGGACAGAGAGCCATGCACCCTGGGATTGCCAAATCCTCCCATTGACCTAGGAAAGTCTGAACCTAAATCCTAAAAGGGGTGAGTAACTCAGGGACGTTGAACGCTTGCTCCTTCAAGCAAAACAAGGCATGCCCAGCTGTGTGCGTCCCTGGTTCAAACCATTCACTGGCCAGAGACAGAGATTGTGTGCAACCTCTCACCAGCGAGGCCGAGCAGGACACGCCTCGCCCTCTGAGTCCCCTCAGAGGAGAGGCCCTGTGGGAAATGCCCGGTACCCAGCCTGAGCAGCGCTGTCTACACGCAGGCAACGCGTGTGTGGTCTTGTATTTTCCAGTACCCACATAAACAATAAAAATTAAAACTAAAATTAAAATTAAAATTAAAATTAAAAAACAGCCCTAACTGTTGTGGCTCAGTGGATAGAGCATCAGCCTGTAGACTGAAAGGTCCCAGGTTCAATTCCGGTCAAGGGCATGTACCTTGGTTGCGGGCACATCCCCAGCAGAAGGCAGCTGATCGATGATTCTCTCTCATCAATCTTTCTTACTCTCTATCCCTCTCCCTTCCTCTCTGTAAAAAAAAAGGTCAATAAAATATATTCTAAAACATAAATGAAATAAAAAAATAAACAAAATCAGCAAGCCCGGCCGGCCTGGCTCAGTGGTTGAGCATGGATCTATGAACCAGGTGGTCACGGTTCCATTCCTGGTCAGGACACAGGCCCGGTTGCAGGCTCCATCCCCAGTAGGGAGCGTGCAGGAGGCAGCTGGTCCATGATTCTCATCACTGATGTGTGTGTCGCTCTCCCTGTCCCTGCAGGAAGGGCCTGAGGGTCAGAGGGCCTCCTCCCGGCCGGGAGCAAAGGCTCTGCTTGTTGGGACGGAGGGACGCTGGTCTCGGGTGTGTAACCCAGCAGGAGGGCACTGGCGGGTTCTGCTTGCTCGGAAGGAGCCCCTGGTTCAACATGCGAAGCACTGGTCCCGGGTTTACCTTTCCAGGGTTTTGAAAGACTGGATGATGTCCTTGGCGTGTCCCCAGAGAAAGTACACCTAGGCGGGAACAAACGAGAGAGGCCGCCTCAGTGGGGACCATCGCTATGTCTGGATACTCCAGAGCAGGCGTCTTCAAACTACAGCCTGCGGGCCACATGCGGCCCGCAGAGGAGTCTGATCTGGCCCGCCAGTTTTTTTGGGCAGTGAGCGCAGCCGAGGTGTTACAGTAGGAATTAGTAGTTCATATAGTCTGGCCCTCCAGCTCTCTGAGGGATCGTGATCTGGCCCCCACTTTAAAAAGTTTGAGGACGCCTGCTCCAGAGGCTCAGGGGGAAGGGGCGTGAATGCTGGGGCAGCCGTGGCCTCTGGGGGCAGAGCCCTTCCTGGTGGGGACCCCCCCAGGGGCGGGGTGAGACCCAGAGGGGGCCTCCAGGTTTGGGAGAAGAGGGTGGCACGGTAACTGAGGATGTTGCATGAACGCTTGTCCTCGCCCCGTTAACCTGCTCCCGCCACCCGGTGAACAGCTCCTGCCCCAGGGTCCAGAGCCAAGGTCAAGTGCTTCGAGTGAGAAGCAGCCTTGATCCGGGCCAGTCATTGCACGCGGCCACACGGGCCCTGTTTCGGACACCTGGGACCCAGAGACAGCCTCGCGAACGGCGGACATACCTGTACCAGCGTGTGTACCGCGTGGGTGACGGGGAACACGCCCTCAGTGGCGGACAAGCAGGCAGAAAACCCGACGAAGTAGCCGATTTTGAGGCATCCGAGGACGACGGTGATGACGGCAAACAAGGTGATGCTGCCTGCAGGGGCGAGGGGCAGGAACACGCAGACAGGGTCACTGTCACTGACAGCATTTCACAGCAGATCACAGCAAACCCTCACGCGTGTGCTCGAATGACCTCCCACAAGGGCGACGAGACCACCCGCTGGAGAAAGGACAGCCATTTCAACAGATGAGGGTGAGGAGGAAGAGACCTTACTTTTCACAGATTGTGTCCAAAAATTAACTCGGGGGCAATCTAAGATTTAAACGCAGAACCTAGAGCTGGAAAACTCTGAGAAGCACGCATAGGGGGAAATCTGTACAATGTGGGACTTGGGGACCATTTATTGACTATCACTCCAAAAGCACAGGCGACAAAAGCACAAGTAGATAAACTGGGCCACATCGAAAGGAAAAGAAAAAGTTTGTACAACTAAGGACACCAGCCTTAGCTGGTCTGGCTCAGTGGATAGAGCATTGGCCTACGGACTGAAGGGTCCTGGGTTCTATTCTGGTCAAGGGCACATGCCTGGGTTGCGGGCTCAATCCCCAGTTGGGGGTGAGCAGGAGGCAGCCAATCAATGATTCTCTCTCATTGTTGATATTCTCTCTCTCTCTCTCTCTCTCTCCCCCCCCCCTTCCTCTCTGAAATCAATAAAAATACATTTAAAAAAAAAAACAAAGGACACCATCAAATATTTATAAATCTTATCTGATATGGCATTAGCATTCCAGAATCTACAAAGAACTCCGATTTAACGGCAACAAAAAAATATAAGCTAATTTAAAAATGAGCAAAGGACTTGAACAGACATTTCTCCAAAGGAAACAAATGGTGAATTAGCACATGAAAAGATGCTCAACATCCCTCATCAGCAGGGAAGTGCAAATGACAACCAGGTCCCCTCCTGGGGGGGCTTCTGAGAGGGGTGGGGGGTGGTTAGGGTTAGGGTTAGGGTTACTGGCCAGGCTGTGGGGAATTGGAACCCTGTGCATGCTGATGTGACTGTAAAGTGGTGCAGGCGCTTTAGAAAACAGTACGGCAGGTTCTCAAAAAAGTTGTATTTCTGGGTGACCCAGCAATTCCACCTCTGGGCACGCACCCACACACACCAGAGGCAAGGACGGGAAGAGAAGCTTCTGCAGCCGCGCTCCGGGAGCATCCCTCACAGCAGCCAAAAGCGGAGGAAGCACCCAGCTCCCACCAGCAGAGGACCGACCGGGGACCAGAACGGGCTCTGTCCGCACGGCAGGTCCATCTGACACGGCCCACCACGTGCGCGAACCGTGAGGACGCCAGCCCGGTGAAACAGGCCACACCGTGTGCCTCCGCGGACCGCGGCTCCTGAGAGCAGTGCCGTTCACAGAGCGGCGGGGCGGGCGAGGAGGGAGAGGGCGGCGTTGAGTGGGTGCCGTTTCGCAAGAGGAAAGCTCCGGAGATTAATTGCACAACGAGACTGTACCTAATACTCTCAACCGCACACTTAACATGATTACGTTGGCACACTTGGTCGTGTGTGTTTTGCCACAATTAAGATAGTAGGCATAGTTAACAAGTTCTACTGTTGGCCTGACAGGCTGAAACTGGAAGACAGGTGCGTGCCCTGTGTATCCGTGTACCCACCCCATGCACATCGGGGTCTGACAAAGGACATACACCCAACAGGCTGGCGGAGTCAGCGGCAGGCCCCTGGAAGCTTCTCTCCCAAAATGCTCCGTCTGAGAGTGTCACTGTTCTGTTCAAAATCCTCGGTTCTCTGGCCTAAAATCCTGTTCCCTAAAGAATTAAGGACCCCACTGGCCTGGCTCAGTGGCTGAACATCAACCTATGATCCAGGAGGTCACAGTTCAATTCCAGGTCAGGGCACTTGCCCAGGTTATGGGCTCAGTCCTCAGTGTGGGGCGTGCAAGAGGCAGCCAATCAATGATTCTCTCATCATTGGTGTTTCTCTCCCTCTCTCTCTCCCTCCCTTCTTCTCTGAAGAAGAAGAGGAAAGGAAGGAGGAGAAGGAGGAAAAGGAGGAAGAGGAAGAGGAGGAGGAAGAGGAGAGGAGGAGGAGGAGGAGGAGGAGGAGGAGGAGGGAAGGAAGGGGGAGAAGGAGGAGGAGGAGGAGCAGGAAGAGGAGGAAGAGGAAGAAGGAAGAAGAAGGAGGAGGAGGAGGAAGAGGAAGAGAATGAGGAGGAGAAAGGGGAAGATACAGAGGCCTACGGGAACTCACTGTCTCCGCAGCCCATCTACAAAACTGTTTTAAAATGGAAAGTATGTGTTTTCGGTGATATTGTAGGTTAGTGCTCCATGGCAGTGGCACGGAGGGATCTGTGCTGCATGACGTGAAGAGAAGGAACTTTCTCCAATGTTCTACCAGTGTGATTTTAGCCAAAAATAAAAACAAGCAAAGAACATGCATATAACAAAGAGACTGGAAAGGAATGCATAAAAGACATGAACTAGAAACTTGCAACAAATGGAGCAATTAGCAAGAAAAACATGGTGACCGATCACTGTCCGAGTTTCCGATCCCACCTGGGGCCATCGCTGAGCGCCGTTCACACATCCTCTCCCGAGGACGGAGGACACCGGATCGTGTGTGACATGCTTCAGGGCGTGAGAGAGCGAAGGGCAGGGCCCCTCACCGCCAGCGATAACATTACAGCCCGGCCGGGGAGCGCCCCGCCCCCGCTGGGAGCAGTAATGCGATCGCCTAGCTCCTTGCCGCCACTCAAAGCCATATAGAAACAATGCTAAGTCCCATTTCTTAAGTCCTGGAAAAACCCCGATGAAACCAGAGCTTTTGTAAGAGGAGATTCAATCGCAGTGCTTTGAACTGGCTGGACAAACGCATAGTTCGTGAGGATTACAAAGAGACCGAGCAAGAGCAGGCGAGGCAGGTGGTTGGGGCGGCGAGGCACAGGCAGCCGCTATGGGGACCTGGTACCAGTCGAGTGAGCTCAGACAAGTCCCTTCCCTGCTCCCAGTCTCGGTTTTCCTGTCCACAATGAGACTCGTCCACAGCGGCGGTTCTCAAACTGGATCCTGCATCAGAATCACTGGGGCGGGAGGGGGGCTAGCTGGACTCCAACACACACACCCCACCCCGAGTTTCCGATTCACTGGGTTTGGCGAGGAGCCCCCAAATGTGCATCTCTAAGAAGCTGCCAGGTGGGGCTGATACTGGTGGTCTGGGACCCCACCCTGAGAACCACTGATCTACAACATCTCCGTCACTGGCATCTCAAGGGCTGTGATGAATAAATCCATCAGGGACCTGCTCACACTCTCCAAGTCTTTTCTGCCTCCATCCCTTCACCACCCATGGGCTCATTCACCCACCTATTTATACAACAAATACTGTGCAGGAGGCCTTTGCCAGGGGCTCAAAGATAAACCAACAAGATTGCTGGGGAGACAAACATGCACAGGTGGAATGTTGCCCAATTTGGGGTGTGCACAGGGCAGAGGGATGAGCTGGCAGCAGGCGTCTGGTTTGCAGCCAGGGAAACTGGAGGCTAGGGAGGATGATGAAGCAGGCTAGGGGGGGAAGGGAGCCCACAGCTAGGGAAGGACTGCAGCTCAAGGACCCTCCTCTTCCCACCAAGGCATCCTCACTTGCCAAAAGATAGGAAGATATTTGGAGACATGCAAAATGTAAGTTGCTCAGCAGCTATTTGTCAAGAAACAACTATGGTCCAAGCACTGTCATGGGCACAGGGGATATAAGAAGGGCAATAAAAAAAATAAAAATAAATAAAAAATCCAGCCCTGGCCAGTGTGGCTCAATGATCAGAGCATCTTCCCATGCACTGAAGGGTCATGGGTTTGATTCCTGGTTAAGAGCATGGCATGTACCTGGGTTGCAGGTTCAATCCCTGGAGCCTGTAGGGGCATGTGTGGGAGGCAACCAATGGATACGCCATTTTCACATCAATGTTTCTCTCTCTCCCCCTTCCTTCCCTTCCCACTCTCTCTAAAAATCAATGCAAAAATTATTCTGGAGTGAGGATTAACAAAACAAAACAAAAAAAGGGTCTGCTCTCAGTGAGTTTAACATTCTGGTAGAAAGACAGAAAACGAACAGATAAATGAATAGAGAAGACGTGGCAGGATGTTCTAAGTACACGGAGAAGATAAGAGAACTGAGGGTGATGATGGGTGGTCAGAAAAACACATTCTGAGGGTCAGAGAAAAATGTCATCCCTGTAACTCTCCTGACAAAGGGCTTTAACCAAACAACCAGTCCTCACAGTTAGGGAAGGTGAAGAGGAGAGGGAGCAATAGCAAGCAATAATACACTTGGCAAATTGGAGAGGCAGATTGATGTATAATGGAGGGAAGGAGAGAAGGAAAGAAAGGAGGGAGGGGGCAAAGGAGGAAGAGAGGAAAATGGATGATGGGTGATGAGGAGGGAAGGATGGATGGATGGATGGATGGGTGGGTGGATGAATGGGTGGGTGGAGATAAGTAGATTAATAGAAGAGAAAATAAGTAAGAGGCATTAAATCCAAAGGGATGAAGAGAGACCGTCTGGAAACGTGTGATTGACGGGCTCGGTAGAGACTTGTGACACAGAACAAAGTTGGGTGGAACTGGGTGGGAAACAGAGCTTTTGCCTTTCAGAGGTCTCAGGGTGAAGAGATGGGGACTGGGGGCCAGAGGAGCAAGCAGAGGGGAGTAGTGATTTCTGAAGGCCTATCTCATGGATGTAGAGCCGTCCTGCCCTGCCTGGGGGCCATGCTCTCAGCCGTCCTGTCACTGCCTGCACTGTCTGGGTACTCGAGATGCAGGGCCAGCCGTGCCTGCTCACCCACCCCTACAGCCCAGCCAGTGCCTGGCACCGAGTGGGGACCTAGTCCAGCAGGTGAACCAAAGCAGACCACAGGCTCTGCTCAGCCCCCGCTAGGTCACCCCCACGCTGTGGGCGTGACTGCCTCTCTGCTGCTCTCTGCAAGCCCCTCCAGTCCTGCCGCTCGCCGGAGAAGACAGAGGCAAGATGAAGGTAGGACTGTGCCTTCTCTGTCACCTTTCATATCACACCCTCT